GGCTGGTCTGCACAAGCGGAGGTCGATGCCACCAGATGAACGCCAGGAGCATGGTCCCCCGGAGCGTCCAAACGTAGACAAGCTGGGTCTTCGCCCGGGTCCTTCCGTAGCGAAGAACCTGTAGCAGTAGCAACCTCATGAATGCGTCGATGTCCGTGGAGAGGAAGCACATAAATAACGTACTCCCAGTACGTCAAAAGCCGAAGGAGTCCATTGCGAGAACAAAAACGGAGGTTTCCGGAAAAGAAGGACGTCATCCGAAGCGTACTCGCACTGGTCATCAAACGGCGGAGCCGGTGCAGGGCGAAGGGGCAAAAAGCGGGCACCAGGCACAGGCGGGAGTGGACCAGTCGGACGGGTACTCTTCTCCGACGGGGAAGACCCAGAAAGCGAGGCAGGAGCGGGCGAAGTTGCAACTCGCCGTGATCCGGAGGGCGGTCTTAGGGCGGCGGCTCCGGCNCGGAGCCGGTGCAGGGCGAAGGGGCAAAGAGCGGGCACCAGGCACAGGCGGGGGTGGACCAAGCGGACGGGTCCTCTTCTCCGGCGGGGAGGACCCACAAAGCGAGGCAGGAGCGGGCAAAGTCGCAACGCTCCGTGATCCGGAGGGCGGCCTAAGGGTGGCGGCTCCGGCGGGGTCAATGTCAGCAGAGGCAAATTCGGCTATTAGAGACCCGTTCGTTAGGATAGGTCATGCCTGCAACAGACGGATGTTTGTTCATTGACGCAGGGCGCTCTTGACTACTCCCCCTTGACAAAGGAGCTGAACCTTCCACAGAATGGTGGGCACTACCATCCGATCCCGATGGCAGTAGTGCAGTCAGNGCGGCTCCGGCGGGGTCAATGTTAGCAGAGGCCATTCGGCTATTAGAGACTCGTTCGTTATGAGAAGTCATTCCTGCAACAGGCGGATGTTTGATCATTGACGCAGGGCGCTCTTGACTACCCCCCCTTGACAAAGGAGCTGAACCTTCCACAGAATGGTGGGCACTACCATCCGATCCCGATGGCAGT